TTTTATTGGGTAGGGACATTGCCCATGGACAGTAGATATCCTATGAGGATGTTTGAGGTCACGGGTCAGACAAACATGACACTTCATGTAAAATCATTGTCTAATCTATGAATGATTTAGAAAGAATAAGCTGTAGTTTATATAACCTAAAAAGATCAGTAGATGACATCTAATAATTTTTAGGCAATTTGGTCAGAAATCAGGGTCACAATGACGCTAAATCTTTGACCAATCAATAACTTGTATGAATGTACGTACTTTTACGGACAGGAGAAGTAGGGGCATCCTTGTTAGGAAAATTCATATAAATAGTGTAATTCGATTGGTTATCAAATATTTCGTTCGCACGACTTAACTTTCTCGTGGCCACCGCTAAACTTTCTCGTGGCCACGACATAGTAACTTGTTCCAACGACTTATTCCTCTCGTGGCCACGACTTAGTCATCTCGTTCCCACGACTTAATTATCTCGTGGCCACGACTAAGTAACTCGTGGCCACAATATAGTATCTCGTTCCCACAACTTAACTATCTCGTGGTCACGACTAAGTAACCCGTGGCCAAGACATAGTATCTCGTGCGCATGAGATAAATAAAAACACACACATGTCACCTTTGTGCCACCGTAAGTTTGAGCATAGTATATCTTAAAATTCAATTTCACTATTGCTCATACGACTATCACACACGCCCAAAAAGAAATGTAAACAATTATAATTATAAGAGGTGAGTTGCCACTTGTAGGATGAGTTATTAGAGAAATCTATAACATTTTTTTTCACATGCTGGCGGAATCTTCAAAAACACGCACTTTTCGCCTGTCGCATCGTGTTCTCTTGTTTTCCAGTAAATTTTCCCTTTACATGTCAGTCTCCAACTAACACTGTTCTGTATACGCCCCTGTATAAAGGGGACGTAACTTTGTTTTACTCCACGTGCCAAAATACGGGATCATCCGGAAAATAACGGGATGTACCGATAAAGCGACACCTGCTGTCATAATACGAACACAAATTATTGCAACTCGCATTATGCTTACTGCCAACTGCTTAGTGCGTACTGTCACATGCGACTATAAGGGGGCAGGGGACATATTCGAATGATGGCCCCGGTCAAATTTTTTAATAACTCAGACATGGTGTTTTGAAGGTACTGATAACTTCTGATATTTCTCTGTCATTGTAATTCTTTCTTGTTTGTGTGTAGGAAATGAGATATATTTTTGGGTTTTTACCCGAAACTAAGCATTTTGGTAGCTTTGTATGTATTTCCGACTCTCCGAATGGAGATGAAAAAGTTAAAAATCAAGCTTTGACATTTGGCGCCAAACTAGTAAGAAATTTCAGATAAATTTTGTGAAAAATCTAAACGTATGACAGACACTTTATTTGTCATTTCTGAAAATGCCATAGCTTGCACTGCGTGTTACTGATATTTTTAAAGGAATCGGGCGGATTCTGGAGTATGCTGCACCTTCATGAAGATTGCCTATATTGGTACATTTTAGGTGTGATTTTGGCTGGGTGGGGGTAAATATAAATTGCTGTCAGTCATTTTTTGAAGGAGCAATGCATGCAAACTATTATTTTCTTCAATGTATGTCATATATCATTGAATAATGCTGTGCAACTGGTTATCTGCCTGTGAAACAGATTTTGAAATATTTGGAATTGTGTTTCTGGTCACACTGAAATACAAAATTTTTCATTTTTAGGTCCCCTGCCCCCTTAAGGAAATTTTCAAATTTATAAAATGTGTTGGAATTGACCCAAATGTGCCCATAAACATTCCTTCTACATTTGTTAGTCAAAATTTGAAGTGACTGGTAGGATTTATCAAGTTATGTAGAGTAAGTAGACTGTCAAGTCAAGGGAGGTAATAAAAATTTGGAATTTTGGCAAACACTGTACTTCACAGAATGTGCACATTTATCCAGATTTAACAGTTTTATATTGTGCAAATTGACATAATAATGCATAATTGAGCACTTTCAATTGTTACAAATGTATATAATGTCATATAAGTCAACAGTGGTATCTTTACTGCACTTTTAGGTGTATGCCAGAATAAATGGGGTCTGGTTTGCTGTTAAATTCATTTTGGGACATTAAATGTGGCTGTAATATTGTTTTTCTTGCTATAATCTCCTTCCAAAAGACTTTAAATACTCTGAAAATACTTTATGGTATTTAAATAAAGGTGGAATACAGAAAAATAACCATCTCACAGGTTCCTGGCACTTGATATTAAGTAAATCATATAACAGGCATGGTCATTGTACTAGTAACTTCCCCTGAAATAGGGTCTTTTTTTAAATATTTGATTAAATACAAAGTAACCGCAGTATTCACTTTTCGAAGTTAACGTTTAATGCGAAATACTTCATATTTTAAGAAAATAAAAGGAAACGCTTTAATGCGAATCACATGAAAAATCTTAAGGGGGCAGGGGACATATTCGAATGATGGCCCCGGTCAAATTTTTTAATAACTCAGACATGGTGTTTTGAAGGTACTGATAACTTCTGATATTTCTCTGTCATTGTAATTCTTTCTTGTTTGTGTGTAGGAAATGAGATATATTTTTGGGTTTTTACCCGAAACTAAGCATTTTGGTAGCTTTGTATGTATTTCTGACTCTCCGAATGGAGATGAAAAAGTTAAAAATCAAGCTTTGACAGTTGGCGCCAAACAAGTAAGAAATTTCAGATAAATTTTGTGAAAAATCTAAACGTATGACAGACACTTTATTTGTCATTTCTGAAAATGCCATAGCTTGCACTGCGTGTTACTGATATTTTTAAAGGAATCGGGCGGATTCTGGAGTATGCTGCACCTTCATGAAGATTGCCCATATTGGTATTTTTTAGGTGTGATTTTGGCTGGGTGGGGGTAAATATAAATTGCTGTCAGTCATTTTTTGAAGGAGCAATGCATGCAAACTATTATTTTCTTCAATGTATGTCATATATCATTGAATAATGCTGTGCAACTGGTTATCTGCCTGTGAAACAGATTTTGAAATATTTGGAATTGTGTTTCTGGTCACACTGAAATACAAAATTTTTCATTTTTAGGTCCCCTGCCCCCTTAAGGAAATTTTCAAATTTATAAAATGTGTTGGAATTGACCCAAATGTGCCCATAAACATTCCTTCTACATTTGTGAGTCAAAATTTGAAGTGACTGGTAGGATTTATCAAGTTATGTAGAGTAAGTAGACTGTCAAGTCAAGGGAGGTAATAAAAATTTGGAATTTTGGCAAACACTGTACTTCACAGAATATGCACATTTATCCAGATTAAACAGTTTTATATTGTGCAAATTGACATAATAATGCATAATTGAGCACTTCCAATTGTTACAAATGTATATAATGTCATATTAGTCAACAGTGGTATCTTTACTAAATTTAAGGTGTATGCCAGAATAAATGGGTCTGGTTTGCTGTAAAATTCATTTTGGGACATTAAATGTGGCTGTAATATTGTTTTTCTTGCTATAATCTCCTTCCAAAAGACTTTAAATACTCTGAAAATACTTTATGGTATTTATTAAATGAAGGTAGAATACAGAAAAATGACCATCTCACAGATTCCTGGCACTTGATATTAAGTAAATCATATAACAGGCATGGTCATTGTACTAGTTACTTCCCCTGAAATAGGGTATTTTTTAAATCTTTGATTAAATACAAAGTAACCGCAGTACACACTTTTTGAAGTTAACGTTTAATGCGAAATACTCCATATTTTACGAAAATAAAAGGAAACGCTTTAATGCGGATCACATAAAAAATCTTAAGGGGGCAGAGCACATATTCGAATGATGGCCCCGGTCAAATTTTTTAATAACTCAGACATGGTGTTTTGAAGGTACTGATAACTTCTGATATTTCTCTGTCATTGTAATTCTTTCTTGTTTGTATGTAGGAAATGAGAAGTATTTTTGGGTTTTTACCCGAAACTAAGCATTTTGGTAGCTTTGTATGTATTTCTGACTCTCCGAATGGAGGTAAAAAAGTTAAAAATCAAGCTTTGACAGTTGGCGCCAAACAAGTAAGAAATTTCAGATAAATTTTGTGAAAAATCTAAACGTATGACAGACACTTTATTTGTCATTTCTGAAAATGCCATAGCTTGCACTGCGTGTTACTGATATTTTTAAAGGAATCGGGCGGATTCTGGAGTATGCTGCACCTTCATGAAGATTGCCTATATTGGTACATTTTAGGTGTGATTTTGGCTGGGTGGGGGTAAATATAAATTGCTGTTAGTCATTTTTTGAAGGAGCAATGCATGCAAACTATTATTATCTTCAATGTATGTCATATATCATTGAATAATGCTGTGCAACTGGTTATCTGCCTGTGAAGCAGATTTTGAAATATTTGGAATTGTGTTTCTGGTCACACTGAAATACAAAATTTTTCATTTTTAGGTCCCCTGCCCCCTTAATATCGCTATCGTTGTCATCTTCGTTATCGATGCGCAGTGATCCTATATTGCATTATATTTGTAATCAGTGAATATATTGAAGCATATGAATGCTAAGACACATCAAATTCGCCAATTATTGATCAAAATTAAAAATTTATTGTGACATAATGTCGACAATATAAGGCAAATTAAAGGTACTGACAGAAACTAACCATGTGACATTTAGTTATATCAAGTACAAGCAAAGAATGTTATCTTAAACACCAAACATAATACGTTGATCTTTATAAAAGATGCAATTAAACATATAGCATATTAAAATATGTGAGTTTGATGGTTTAGTAGGGAACACATAAGGTTGCAATTACATGAAAGTGCATTCAGTAATAATAAGGCATGATTGAAAGCAAAACGCAGGTTTTCATTGTCATAAAGAAGTATAGAAGCAAGCATAATGTAAGTCCCAATATCATAAAGCAAGATGGAATAAATGCACTAATTCTGTTCCATACATATGTCTTTTGGTAACTTAAAATTCTTTGAAAGATTAACAGGAAACTTACCGTTTGCTATTCTAATCACTTCTCCCATCATACATTCACCTATATCAACCGTAATTTTCCTGTGAAACACAGCATGGCAAGCTGTAACAAAACAAGAAATCTATATGAAAGTTAAGTATGAACTAAGAATAAAAGAAGTTTAAGGAGAAAAGAGGATAATGAATGAAAATGGTTATCTATTTACAAATGAAAACAGGCCGTAAAAGTAAGAAATAAGCATAATAATACAAAAAGCGTTTCAGTCGTGGTGTAATGTTTTTTTTTAAATAACAATTTCTCAATTTCTGTAACATTTCACTGCCGGGTGTACGCACTATTCAGAATCAAAATCGCATTCAACGCGAAATACTGACAAGAAAGGGAAAACGTATGTCAAGATATTTGGAATATTAAAACTAGAAGTAAGGACATCTTCTTTGCTAAAGAAATTAAATACAAATCTATTTTGATTGCTTTACATGACTCGTTTTTGTTAAAATACCGGTTGAATAAGTGTTCGCGGTATCAGAATTTTGAGGATGCGCGCGCATGGTTTCACTCCCTTGTTTAATATGAAAGATACTTATGTACTAGTTCGAGTAAAGTAACTATAATGACGGGTTAATAGTGTATATCCTTATAAACTTCTTTTATTCTAATATTTTTTAATATTTCAAGGGTCACCGTGCTTCCCGTACTAGAACTAGTCTAAGAGTAAATCAAAAATGATCAACGCAATGCTGAATTAGAAGTGTTGGAAAGGATTAAAAGATGACCATGTTTGGGCTACAGTGTAAAAACAGTAAGAAAGCTAATAAGTTTATACTTACGTATATATGCATAATAGTTCCAGTCGTACAGTATAAGCTCTAGACAGAAAACAAAATCATGTATTATTATAACTTCAAAACATTTAGACAAACATAGTTACTTAATCGGCCATGCTTAATTACACCTTTGAGGCTATGCTTAAAATATTATATTTTTAAATTTCATTATTTTATGAAATAAATCAGAACCATTAGACCCGATGAAAGAAAGGAACATTTAAAACAGCTTGATGACCTTCGAAATCCACAAAGGTAGGGTAGAATATAATATGGACTATATGCAAAATCTGTTGTTCTGAAGGTCGTTGTTTGTTATTTAAAGGTAATGTTCAGTTAACATTGTCTTTAAAACGCATTTAAATCTAGGCACAATGAAAATAAAACTAAATCATTATAATCTCTTTGAAATGACTTTTCTGTCGATAGTTTTCCTTTCTCTGTCATAAAATGCAGAAATGCTAACAGAATAGTTTATGCATAATATGTAATGTCGAAACAGAGTCTGATAACTCAGAACAAAATGCTCAATGATTATGATGAAATATTTCTCCCATTAAAATAGAGAAATAAAGAATCCTAAATGAAACCATGTTATCATGTGGCAGGGAACAAAAATGCACGTCCTATTTGCAAATAGATCAACAACATTTTGGGGCCAAATACCCAGGTATCAGTCGTGAATATATTCATCTGATTTTCACCGCATTGTGGAGTCCTATTAGAAGACAACTTATGTATAAATGCTGCCAATCCAAGACGCATCAAAGTGATGTGAATAGTCATATGTAATGTACAAAATCAGCCTTGACAAGTGTTCTTTATTACAGTTGACTATCCGAAGCACTTATGGTATGAGCTAGTTGTTTGATAATTAAAAATTAGAGCATAATGCATAAATTCACAAAGTAAAGCCATGTCTGAGTTTTTGAAATGTTGCATGTTGAGACCAAAATTAAAAGGTGTAGTCAAAGCAAAATAAATTGGATGACAAGTAAACATGAAATGATTGGTATACTTAAAATAAATTCAACACAAAGACAGAGGTAAAGGAAAATAGAAAAATAAAAAGAACATGATAATCACACATGGCACTATCACTTCAGTTAAACCTTAATTTAATTTCTAAAGCTAAGTGACATATTGTTCATCATATAGCCTTTTTTATACAGTGTGATTTTGTTAAAACAAAATAAAGAATACAAAAAAGCAAGAACAAAAAGTTTGCACGCGGTTTCAAATAAAATATAAAAGTGTGACATGGACTGCTTCAAAATATGCAAAAATAAGGGTTATACGTGACGATTTTTTGGCCTAGTGCATTTGTGTTTCTCGTACAAGAAATCAGTTCCAAGTAAATTAATTTGAGCAAAATAAAACATATGAGCCGTGTCACGACAAAACCAATATAATGGGTTTGCGACCAGAATGGATCAAGACCAGCCTGCGCATCCTCGAAGTCTGATCAGAATCCATGCTGTTCGCTTACCAACTCTATTACAAGTAGAGAAACTGATAGCGAACAGCATGGATCCTGATCAGACTGCGCTGATGCGTAGGCTGGTCTGGATCCATGCTGGTCACAAACCCATTATGTTGGTTTTGTCCTGACACGGCTCAATTATGATATTGATACAGGTAACACATTCAAAAACAGGTAACACATTGAAACAATATAACAAATGCGATACCAGACAAACATACCTTGATATGAATTATCTAAATATCTGTTCCCTGAAATTATATCAAAATTGCATTATATTTCATAACTAATACGTCTTTGCTCAGTATCTTTATAGGTTCCTCCCTAAAAAGGCTTTCATCTGTTCAGTAATTAAGGCAATCTGACATTTCTACGGTTTCCAATTTATATATTATTGTTGTTTACTTTTCATATAAACCTACGGCAACTTCATGTCATGATGTTTTATGATGTACGAAAAGAAAAACAACCTTCTCCCAATATAGAGAAAAACAGAATCCCTAAAGAAAGCCCAACACGTTAAAATTGAAAATTTTGCAGGCTCGGTTTGATTGAGCCTGTTCATGGACGGTACTGGAAAGTACAGGTTACCGTCCACGCCCTTAGCACAGGCTTTAAAAAAACTGATTATAAACAAGAACGTGTTTGTTAAACACAAATGCCCTCCAGCCCAGATTCTTGACAGTTACACTTTTTTCAAAACAGTTTTTCGACAAAAAATGCCAATAAATTGTAATCACAGTTTTGTAACTTGACAACATCATTATGTTTTGTTATGGTGTAAAATGTAAAATGGTATGGCATTGCTATTGAACTTGTAACCAGTGACCCCATATCGCGCCCAAAATAAAATGACCACTTGAGGTTTATTCTTAAATGAGAAAAGAAACAAGATACAACGGCTGTATTAAAAAGGTTAATAATCCGTCAATGCAATCCGAGTACGAATGTGTGGTTCAACCTCTAGATGTGACCTTGATCTTTTGATTGACCTTGGGGTAAGTACATGGGTCCTGGAGGCAAAAAAATGTTGCCTGTAAGTATTTGTTGAAGTCATTTCAATTTGTCAATGCTTTGCGATACATGTTACAAATGCAAGTACATTGTTTGTAGTATTTATACATATCATAATCAGAATATATCCTGAAAATGTGCTCAAGTGATTTTTCACGATTTCATGTTATGTAATGAAGTGAAGGAAATTGAAATAAGAATACATTGGATGACGTTAAAAAAATACTGCAATAGATACAAACAGGAATATCAATTTGAACACTTAAACAAAACAGTGTATCAGCTCGTTTATTAGGATTGTTTTATCGCTTTCGTTAATTGTACCTACTTACTTAAGGACCACTTAATCTTGAAACAGCACTAAGTATTTTTAGGATTGATTAAAATAACTGAGGAAACTCAAGATTTTAAGATTATTAAGGATAATTTACAGTTGATTTAGCCATGTTTTTTGTGTTCAGGCTTTCAGTCCCTTGAGCCTGTCCATGGACGGTACTGGAAGGTGCAAGTTACCGTCCACGCCCCTAGCATCCACTTAAGCAAAATTCTACATTTAATCATGGTGATGGTGAAATTTTGAATTCAGAAACATTCAAAAATACATAATATTTTACCTTTCATTACCGGACGGAAGAAGCAGAGTTCAAGCTCTATGGTTGTTGATGGTAACGGAAAAGTAATCGCCGTTCCATGAAGTCGTGGACATTTTGCACTTGAAAACTTAAAAAAGGGTAATTGTGTACAAAAATGTTATACTGGACCGTCGCTAAATAATCCACAACATGAAATATATAAGGAAATTGTACACTTCTATTATAAAAACCAAACATGTGTTCTACTGTCGGATTAGCCTTGGTATTTTACGAATGCGGCATGGAAGATAAATTTCTTAATTTGACGCATGAACTAGAATTTTCAATAGACAAAACGTAACACTTCATTCAAAGTAAAAGTTACACAATGTTTGTCATCGCGATAGAGATGAAAGCAGTTTGAGCTTGTCCAGAGTCCACTTCCAAGACAAACCAAGATCAGGAAACAAATAATTAATATAAACACAATTACATAAAAATTGCAGGCTGTCTTTGATATAGTCTGTACATGAGGGATAATGATGAAGTGCAACATTCTTCACGCCCTCACCCACCGGCTTGAGCGGTACTCAATTTTCAATACATAATGTGTTGGAGCCAATGATCCCAAAGGACTAGAACTATATAACAAAACTGAAAACGAAAGTCAATATCAGACAACATGATGATGTACTTTGTAAGACGTAAGACTTAAATCATTTGGAAGTGAAGCAGAAAGCTTTATCATAAGGCCAACACACATTTTAGGACAAAACTATTTTTTATATTGTCATATATGAAAGAATCAAATACCTTTATAAATATGAAAGGCTCTGATTTTGATCTCCAATTACTGACGTAGAAAGGAACTCTTTTATGTTCACATATCACAAACTCAATATCTGTGTATAGAAATAAAAGATAACAACAATTATAATCAATTTAAAAAATGATATCTAATGATCAATCCTACATATAAATGACACTCACGCTATTGTATATGAAAAACACTTATACAAATAATACTTTTTTATGAAAGTTTTGGGTTGTTTTTTTGTTGTTGTTGTTTTGTTGTTCTTGACGTTATTGTGCGTCATGATTCTGTGTGCGTGCGTGCGTGAGTGCGTGCGTGCATGTGACTATTTTAAATTTTAGAGGACAATATAAACATTCTCTTTTACTTTCAAATGTCACTTTTATATAAAACTTGCTTTATTGCATAGCTTGTATACCTATGATAGTAGGTGCAACCTCTTTCTTCTATTGTTCTTTCTATTTATTGTGCTGTTGTTTATTATTTTTACTGCTGGCCTGGCTCTACTCTTTAGGTAAAGGCTTACTACTTATGTTTCAGCAGGTTTGATATGGTCTAATTTACAGTGATATACGGTAAAGGTGCTCAATATTTTATGTTGACCACTAGTCAGTTATTATTTAAAGACAGGATGCATTACGAAATGCAGGTTTGATGTGGTGAAACTTACAGTGATGTATCGAAAACGAGCTCAATAGTTTTGATTGACCACAAGTTAATTATTATATAAAAACAGAATGCATTACGTAATGCAGGTTTGTTACGGGACAAGTTATAGTGATGTATCAAAAACGAGCTCAATATTTTGGTAACCATTTGTTAATAAATATATATAGACAGAATGCATAACAAAATGAGGGGTATTATATTTAGCAAGAAACGTAAATAGAGAGAAATAAGAATCCCTAAAGAAAGCCAAACACGACAAAATTGAAAATGTTGCAGGCTCGGTTTGATTGAGCCTGTTTATGGACGGTATTGTCAAGAGGAAACTACCGTCCACGGCCCTAGCACCGGCTTAAGGAGAATTCAAAATTAAACATGAACTGGTAAAATTTAGAATTTTGAAACATCCGCAGATGTGTTCATATGGCGGTTATCATGGAGCCTTCAATGTGACACGTTAGTGTCATTCCATGAAAAGAGGTATATGGTCCCCAAGTAAAAAGAATGCGTGTTCCCTAAACAACAAAAAAACAACAAAAAAAAACAACAAAAAACAAAAAAAAAAAACATACAAAGGGCGGAACTAAATAAAATGGAATTTTGAAAGGGGATCTGATATTATGTATTCACCTGTATAATCTTCACGATTTACGATTTTGAAATCCGGTACAGCACCGTCTGACATCACATTAATGATGGGTACGACCGTGACATTTAGAACAGACTCTGTAAAGTCATCTGTAAAAATATACTTTTAAATATCACTTCATACCATACATTACAACGACAAGTAACATACCATACATTACAACGACAAGTAGCGAAAACTATCAAATCTAGGCTTCAAAAATGCGTAACTTGATGATACTTTCTTCTATTAGTTTTATTGTCCATTTACTAAAAGATAAACTATTTTTGTGCACATGTCTTTTTAAAATGAAAATAAATAAATATAAAAATAAATGTTTAGGTTACATATGTCTGTAAGAATATTTCCCACAAATAATTATGTAATTTTTTGCATTTAATATTATGCTATGAATTTGATATGCTGCAATCTGACTTAAGTTCAAATCTTCTTATTTATTTTATGTCTGATGTCGACCGTATATGTTTCGCCTTCGTTATAATTTGGATTTCCCAAGAAAGCTATTCTAACCAAGCAATCAAGCCAATATTAACAAAGGCATTAGACGAAAAATCCATATACCGTTAACCTCGGAAGTTATACAAATTTGTTCGAAAACAAATGTTTGAAGTTATTTTTAACAAATAAACTTGAAATGATATAGTAAATTTTTAATGGGCATGATTATTTTGCAAGTTTACTTGTCGAGCATATAGACAACGCGAAATCGCGAAAATTACCTACTCAGTAGGGTTAAAATTAGAAACCACATCGCTTTTAAAAATTATGACAGCTCGCTGATGATTGGCTGTGTGAAACGTCAAAAGAAATTATTTCGTTTTTAGGTCATTTAGAGCTGATTTTAATCAGATCGTGACATGCTGTTGCAAAATAACAACTGGAAAGTTCTCAAATCAAAGGAAGAAACATTTTCAATAGTCATGATGACCTGAAATAGTGTAAATTTCCTTAAATTGCAGAAAAAATCTCACCTCCCGGGCAACTGTCCTTCGTACCAAACACGGAAAAGTAAAAGTTTGGCCAAGCTTCGAAACTTTCAAACTGCCCATCAGACTTATAACAAAAGTTCATCCTGTACGTATATGGTCCAAACATACCAGAAACTTTTGATTCTATTTGCGATTCATGAAAGAAAGCTGTTTCATGTTCTGAGATGTTTGCAGTGAATTGAATATATCCGATTTCCCATCCGAATTCCGGAGGTTCCGGACAACCGTTCACCGACATCAACAACCAGTAAGGACCATCTGGCCAATGGCTTTGTTGCATTTCTGATAAATATGCAAAAAAAGTATAAAAAAAATACCTTTTTAAATATGTTTCAAGAATCAACAATTTTACAAAGGCAATTCAGCTATCATTTTAAGGTATCTGCTCTTAAAAAAAGAAATGTTCTTAGCAAAATCTCACAGTGGTCATTTCTTTAAAAAGCTGCCAGTTTTTTTAACGATACTATACGCGTGTATACATATTGTGACGATCTATGTGTGTAGAGTTTCAAACGTGACATAAAGAATTTGTGTGCAGTCAATATATGTTTATTTCATATTTACAAAGAGCCAGTGAAGCCATTATCAAATTTCTGATATCAAATTGAGCATAGTATATCCTTTAAAAACGTTTCATTTTTTACCACCATTTCTTTGTTTTTGGAATTTTTCCCCTAGGCCCCTGAGAGTTATTTACTGTTAAGAAGTTTCCACAAGAAAAAAATGGTATGTTGTTACAGGGGTAGAGCAGTTTTGGGTTTTTAAACAGTTTTATAACTGCACAAAATATAATAGTATATAAATAACACATGGGTTTGTTGGTAACAGTAAAAATATCATCCAAAGGAAAATACTTTACCCGAGGCATTATCTTTGGATACAGTTATAAGTCGAACACGATAGCGTTTACATTAATCGGTCAAACTATTATGATATAATGGGTTGTGCAAGTTATTCAGTTATTACATTTTGCACTTTTACTGCTAAATTGGATATAGATACGACTTCCGAGTAGCGTAGTGGTAAGAGAGTTCAGATTATGACATATATGAAGAGTTCATATTAAGAAAATGCTTTGTTTTCGAGTTCAAATATGGAATTGTGCATTTTTTTTATGTCTGTATGGTTTTTACTTTCAGAAAACATTTTAAAATTCTCTTTTATAAACCTGTGATACATTTAATATTTTGTACAATTTTTAGTTAAACTTATAACGATTTAGCAAAATTGAATGTATTTGATTTTAACAGTCTTCAAACAGATTGAAAAGTATTGTCAATTTTATTCTTTTTAAAATTCTGAATTCAGTTTGATCGTTTTTTTTTAACAATTTCGGCTCATATGTATATTTATATATTTAAATTTCTTCTTTTTCACATTTATCACTATAATTACGAGTGTGTTGTCTCTAACTTTACTTGTGTGTAAAACTAAATGTTCTAAAAAAGTATTGTGTGAAATAAATTCACGAGGAACTAAAATGCAGTTCTCTGAAAAATATTTAAAAACAAAAAATAAAATAAAAGTACAAATGCCTCTTCCAAGAATAGAACCACGTTCTGTACACTGACGAAGCCAACACTCTACAACTACGCTATTACGCTGAACGGTTAAGAATGAGTAATTGTTTAGGTAGTTAAAGATTTTGACGATAAATATTCTTCTTTTATATAAGAATTATCGACACCCTTATTGTCAATATTGATGTAAACAGATAATGAAAGGAATAGTGAATTCGAGCTATATGTAACAGTACAGATTTCTTAGTCACATTACACTTGCATTAACAGTAAAAATAACTCCCAGTGGCCTGTGGGATATTAACATTACACAAAAAGTGAGAGGTATGTCGTTTCTAAAATATGAAAAGATTAATCGTTTTTTATACATAATGAGCTGTGATTAAACTGACAACTTTAGAAGGTACTTATTTCAGTTTATATACCGGTATCTTTTTTACATGTATAGTTTCTGTTGTTTGCGAGTAACAAATGTACTATAGTGGTAGGTGTGTTAGTATTAGGGTAAATATCTGGATAACGTGTGTTCCCTCGGAATCATTAATCAAAACAAAATTACATGAAAAGTACAGACTCGGTTTAACTGAGTCTATATATAAGAAATAATGAATAGTGCAATATCTCCCATGTCCCTAACATCAGCCTGAGTTGTCCTCAGTTTTTCCCAAACACATCAAAAGCCTGAAACCAATGATCTCGACTGACCAGAAATGTGTAACAACACTGAAGTGAAGTACGGGGTAACTGTTTACAGCTGTTAGACTCGATACTGTAATAAAATGTCTTGTTGACAGATATCCGCTCTTGTGTTGATAAGTTAATATATCAGTCATATACGTACTAAGGCAGACGAGGCTTTTAAGAGGGAAAGTCGTGTTCGATGTAAATAAAAGAATAAAATATAATGCTTGTCTACCAATGAAACTTCGATAAAATGGTTGACATGATTATAAAATAGAGAAAAAAACCAGAATCCCTAAAGAAAGCCCAAAACGACAAAATTGAAAATGTTCCAACCCACTTTTATCTCTCAGTGGTGGGCTATATAAACATTTTAGAATACGCAGAACTTCTGAAAGTCCAAAATATCTTGGCACATACATGCAATTTAAGAAAAGCAATCCCTTTCATTAATTCTTGGCTCTTGGCACTAAAATTGTGAAGCAATTTACTATAATTATGATCTATTTCTCGCAATTTATGAATTGCTTAGGAGCATTTTGTTTTGAAAAAACGAGAGGAAAAGAGGTAAGAAAATGATATCAATATGAAAAATTCTGAAATATTTTTATAATGATTTGTAAGCACTAATACACGTATCTTTACTTCAAATACATATGTACGTATTTGACAATGAAAGGAAAGCAGAACTATAATTATACATACTAATTTCCTCGCTAAAATGTAATTACCTAGTTCACAAAGCAGTCCAGTGAAGCCAAATGGACAGATACACGAACATAAGTTGTTTTCACTGCTTAAACGTCCTTCATTGTAGCACGTTACACCGGGACACACATCTTAAATGGTTAACAAATGAAAGACAAAGGAGCATTTATTCTGTGCAATACACTGGTAACAAAAGTAAAATGTTCTTATTAATTCCATGAAATGTCCAGCTATAATTTACACACAAATTCAATTGCACACTAAACAGTTCGGAAAGCTACTACACGAATATTGTACATAAGTGATATACTGTTACTTATATACTAGATTTTATTTCACAGATAAAACCTATTATTTTTTTGGTTAATAACATTCTGGTCAGATTGCAAAGATATATTAGTTACTACAACGCACATCACAGTAATAAAAATTTAATAAGATGAAAATAGATCATATAAATAAACAAATAAAGAAATAAATTGTTTACTTACTTTCTCCAAGCACCTTAATAACAAACAAGTCTATGAACAAAATACCGAGCCTCACAAATAACATATTGATGGTGAACATCGCATATGTAAATTAACAGATGTATAATATATTCAAGCGTTGTTAAATACCCTTTCTGATATTCTAGCCAATAGAAAACGTTGTTAGGGCAAAGTAAACTTTGCTTCTTTTAAACCTTATTGCAAAACAAAAAACGCAAAAGATTAATGAATCATTTTGTAGTTTGATCGCAAAATTTAATATTCTAATCGTAAAAGACGTCGGTCTTGTGTAATTTCATCTTCAGTAGATAGAAAACAGGAAACTGTTTGCATTTACAAAGCAAATGTTGTAAATATCATTTGCAAAATGTTTCTAAAACTAATTCATATCAATGCTTTTATATAAAAAATTCCTGCCCTATTGATAGGACAGATTATTGAAATTGTAATATTGCTAATAAGAAATTATTCAGCAAGAATTGTTAAAAGCCAATTTGAAAGCTCTCATTTCTTTATTATCGATCGGCAATAACTTCAGAGCTGGTCAAAACAAGTTTTGACAGGTAAGATTATTAACATGTATTTGTAACTAGAATTTTCAGTGATACTAAGTGTTATGAGAAAACAATCAAAAGAGTTTAGTAATTCATACATGGTATGAAATTAATAATCGTTTATGCTAACATTGTTTAGGCCATGACAATAGCAGCTAAAGTGGTAATTAACTATATGCAATATTGGATGGTAATTGTTATTAATGTCTTTTGTTCATTCTTAGATAATAATTTTGACGGTGATAAAGCATTTCAATTGACAATGAAAGTGATAAACGTTGTTTGTAAAGTGATACTCAACAAAAGTAATTAACACAAAGCAATTCTTAAAATGTGAATGCTTTAAGTAAATTATTAACAGAACAGAACAGAACAGAACAGATTTTATTATTCAATATGACTTGAACATAACAGTTCCTCGTCATTACACAAATATACAGCATACATTAAATACAGCGAGAGTGAAAATACAAACATACAAATTTAACATTTGATATTATCATACTAGTCATATACATTATTCATATTTTCATTTCTAATACTAAATGCTTTATTACAAAATATTGCTAATCTATTTAAAGTATTTGTATTACATGTATTTAACAGATCAATAAATTTAACCATACTGGGATGCCTATAGTAATAACGTGGTATATACAATTTTCTGTAGGACAGAAGTAGGACACATTAACACAAAATGATATTCGTCTTCTATGTCGTTTAGGTTGCAAACTGTACATTTTCTTTCCGATCTCACAATGTTTCTATGTCTACCAGTCTCTATATTTAAACGGTGCGAAGACAATCTTAGTTTAGCTATTGTATTTCTCAATTTTGAGCAAAACATTTTATTTAAATAATTTGATAATTCAAAGTTATTTTTTAATTCTTTAAACAAAGAGAGTGAACTTTTATTATTTACATCTTGTCTCCAGTTACTGATATAAATATCTATAAGTCTTGTTCTAAGTATTGGAATAAAAATATTAACATTGACAGATTCAGGAAATAACCAAACGTCATTAAATCCTGTTTCTTGTAACAATTGCTTAACTTTAGAAGCCCAGTTAGTTTGATTTGCATCTCTATCAGCAATATATCTAAGTGACAAAATTACATTTTCTAGCAAACAATTATTACTTTTTTTTAAGTGTAATTTCAAAAAAATACTTTACAATTCTTATTTGCCGTATTATAAAAAGCGGAAAACGACCAGTTTCACCGTACAAGGCAGCATTGCATGTAGTCATTTTTACATTTAAAACCCATTTTATAAACTTTCTATGAACCCTTTCTATTTGTTCAGACATTGTAAATCCCCATACTTCACAAGAATAATTTAGTATGGATGCAACATAACTGTCAAAAAGATTAAACATAATTTTTGCTGGTATTTCCAATGGTCTTGTTACTGAAAGTAAAGAGCTCATGGCTTTTAGTGCTTTTCCTGATAAAGTCTTTATAGCATTTGTAAATGAGCCACCGCTAGATAATACAAGTCCAAGATAGTTAAAAGAATTAACAATTTCAATAGTTTCTCCATCATACTTAAAACAATAATTAGTGTTTCTGTTGTTTCCACCTTTCTTGAAAATCATAATTTTTGTTTTAGCAATATTAACTTTAAGTTTCCATTTATCACAATAAGTCTTAAAATTATCCAAAGATTTTTGTAAGCCCTCTTCAGTTTCTGAAAAAATCACTGCATCATCTGCAAAAAGTAATAAATAAATTGAAAGTTGATCTAGAGAAATACAGGCATTTGGATCTTGTTGTAAATGTAGTTCAACATCGTTTATAAAAAGAGAAAAGAGCAGAGGAGACATTATCTCCCCTTGCAATAATCCTATATCACAATCGTACACATCGGATAACTGATTCAAATGTTTAACACACAATTTAACATCATTATAAAGTGACCGTACAACATTAAATAATCTACCACTAATCCCCATTTTAATAAGTTTAACCCAAAGGCCATTCCTGTATATTGAATCAAAACACTTTTGAAGATCAATAAAACAACAGTACAGTTTAGATCTATTTTTTAATTGTTTTTCGATAAAGGAATTCAATAAAAATATTGCATCTACAGTACTATAATTAGCTTTAAAACCAAACTGTGCATCAGTAACAATATCATTCGCAATAGACCATTTCTTTAATCTTTCATTTATAACAATAGTGAATAATTTAGCAAAACAACTAATAAGCGTAATACCTCTATAATTATTTACATCAGCATTATCTCCCTTTTTGAATACAGGTATAATGACACCTTTAGACCATGACTTTGGGAAACATTGTTTATCAAGAATATAATTAAACAAGATCTCTAACGGTTTATCTAAAACATCAATACCTTCTAAAAAATACTCATATGAAATATTATCTAAAGAACATGCTTTATCCCTGCCTAACAATTTAATAGCACTCCTTATTTCATCTAATGTAAACGCTTCATTTAATTCTTCAAACGATGAGTCAGCAGAAACATGAGAATCAAAATCATTTAAAAAATCTATACAATCTTCATCCTCATCAATTTTTAATTCTGAGGTCAATTCTTTAAAATGTTCATAAAAATCATTTATGTCAATAGATTCGCTACAGTCAGAATAATTATTATTTTTTGATTTAAACATTTTCCAGAATTCTTTTGTTTTTTTATTTTTCATTTCCTCCATTTTTAATGATACACTTTTTAAGTATTTTTGTTTGGTCACTTTACAGCAGTATTTATAATCTTTTTTCTTACTATACAAAAATTGTTTATTTTCATAACTTCTCTCTAACTAAAAGACAATGATTTCAATTCACATATATACGCACCATCATCCAACTTTAGTCACCATCATTTTTGTTATGAATTAATAATATGTTTCTTTTTTATCATAAATATGATACTAAAATTAAGATTTATCAATATTGTATGTTCCGAAAAGCATTATTTGTAAAGATAACACCACATTTAATATTTCATGTAAATAAAGGGAGTTTACTAGAAATTAATTCTCTATAAAGTCTAAGTCAGTCAGATTTTCCAATAAGAAAATAATGCATTAATTTTAATGATTTCATTTAATGCGCAAAAATATTTGCAGTACATATTTTACATATTCTTTGGTGTTTGAAAATTGTTTTCTAAGCATAGTTATATAAATATATCTGGTATACAACCATACTGTCACCCTCGGTTAACTTAAAGTTTGTAGGAAGTCTATAAATAAAATGGTTAAAACACCAAATATTAAAACAATAGATAAAGTACCCAATAAACAGCTCAGTTATGTCTAGGAACCTTGATAGCATTTCTTTTAATATTCAGGGTTATTCAAGTCATAAACATAGTAAAATTTAAAACTTTATTGATAATAATCCTCAAATTGATATATTATGTATCCAAGAAAACAAGTTATCTTTAAATAAAACTAAAAAGGTATACATGGATACACCCCTGAGTTTAAATGTTTTACTATAGATAGACAAGATCACATAGCGGGAGGATTAGATACATATATAACAGATAATATTAACTATGAGGTG